AATAGACAAAAACTTGATACTATAAATTAAAATTTTCTAATTCAAACTTTGAGGTAGCAAAGAGAGATTTGGCCATTGAGAAAGGTGCGACATCACCTAACCGTAAAGGTATGAATTAAAAAGTCAAAACCATCATTTGAAAAAATAACAAGTTCCATGCCTGCAATGGTTGGAGAGTGTTAAAACTTCCTTTCAGCCGTTATGTCGTCCCACTAACAACATTGTTTAAGATCAAAAGTCAAAATGGTGCTGGCTCACCTAACCACAATGATATTCTAACGGAGTGGCATCAGCACTTTCTCATTCAGCACTCCAAATTCCTGCAACTCCTATGAACATGATTAGGTAACTGTTGGGGGACATACGGCCTAACGAGATGATATTGAGTGATCCATTACATATTTCGACATTACATTGGAACCCAAAGACTAGCATGATAATTAAGCCACTCTTTTTGTATTTTTCGATGTGGGATCTTAGTTTGTCACACTTGCGTGAGAGTTTATCCATACATACAAGATGATATTGAGTGACCCATTACATATTTTGACATTACATTGAAACCCAAAGACTAGCATGATAATTAAGCCACTCTTTCTGTATTTTTCGATGTGGGATCTAAGTTCGTAATTCGTCACACTTACGTGAGAGTTTATCCACACATACTCATAATGAGTTTATATAATATATACTCTCACTTTGAGAAGCCCGGTCAAGATTGAAATTACCATTAACTTAATGTGTTATGCCATGCTTTGATACCATTTGTTGGGGAGACTTAGCGAGAATGCGAGACGACATTGAGTGACCAATTAAATGTTTTGACATCATATTAAAATCAAAAAACTAACTTAATAATTTCATGGGTCTGCACATATATGAGTTACTCTTTCTTTTTTATATTTCTTTGACGTGGGATTTTAGTTTTTTACATTCATAAGGAAACATATTTCAACAGTAACCTTAACATAAAAAAAAAAAAAATTCTTAAAGAAAAGTTAGTGTAAATGAGTTTTTTGGTCTAGGAATAAAGGAACAAGACAGTTTTGAAGATTCCAAAATCAAATCTAGTGTCGTGATGTTGAGTGAGTCATAAACAAATGGCAGCAACGAGTTATTTGATTGACCAGCATCAGTAATCAGACTGATCCCGCCTCTTGCGTTTAAAATTTACTGTGACTTCCTAAGAAAACATACCATTTAGCAGTTGGCAAAGCCCTTGCTGATAATTGTTTCCTCAATCGTGGAGGAGCATCTGAATTACTTGACCCATGGTGGGTCTTGCGTCTTTGTCTTCCTGTACACATTGCAGAGCTACTCTGATCATGATCAACATCTCATCAGGATCGTATTTCCCATCCAAAATGGGGTCTATTATCTCCCTCATCCACCTTGACCCCTCTTCATTTCCTTTCATCTGTTCTCTCACCCATGTAACCAATGTTCTTTGCCCTTTTTCTGATGCATAATCTGTTTCCTCGACACCCATTGCTGGGTTCCTTCCGGTTATCATCTCCAGCAGAACAATCCCAAAACTATAAACATCAACCTTTGAGGAGATGGGATGACTGTGCACCCACTCAGGAGCCATGTAGCCTCTAGTTCCACGCATCCTTGAGAATCCTAAATTCTTAAGGTGACCTCTCTTGAGTAGTCGAGACATTCCAAAATCTGAAACTTTTGGCTGGAAATTGGAGTCTAGGAGTATATTCTGAGGCTTTATGTCACAGTGGAGAACCCATTCCAAACATTCTTCGTGTAAATAAGCTAGGCCTTTAGCTGTTCCAACAGCAATATTGAATCTCTTTTTCCAATCCAGTGTTTTAGAAGAGAGATTCTTGGCTAAAGACCCATTTTCCATGTACTCGTAAACCAAGAGCCAGTGTTTTCCCTCTGCACAATAACCCCAAATGTCTATCAAGTTCATGTGATTAAGCTTTCCAATGGTGCTTACTTCTGCTAGGAATTCAGCTTCTCCTTGGTTAGCATCAATGAGTCGCTTGATTGCTGCAACTCTACGATCAGATAATATGCCTTTATACACAATTCCTTCGGCACCACCTCCAATCTCTTCCTTGAAACCATTCGTCGCCTTTTTCAGCTCAGAATAGGTGAATTTTCTGAAGCCAGAAGCAGCAAGCATGTAATTATGCGCTGCAGCTGAATTGTCATGAGCTCTGATCAAGAAACACCACACAAACAAAATGCTAAAAAGCTCGATTCCTCCTATTGCACAGGCAGCCCAAATGACAAACCTTAGAGAGGGATTTTCATTGCTATTCGGGTACATTCTTTCTAGCTGCTCAACAACCTGAGTGGAGCATTCTAACTTGTAATCTGGAACAGGATTACTGTGGTAATCTAGACTGACCTTAGGCAGCTTCAAGTAAATATCTCCATTGAAATTCACCGACCTGTGCCCATTTAGTAGCTGCGTCTTGGGATAACAATATATTCCGCTAGGCCCGTGGGCCGTAATGAATTTGAATTGGAACCCTTTGCAATCGCATATCTGCAAGCACAAGTTCTTACACATGTCTAGGGTATAATTCTGATAGAATCCGTAGTCATATCCATAGAATTCAACATGAGTGAGTTTCATGAAACCAGCCTCACTTTGGTTACAAGAAAGATTGAATTCCGGCTCACAACCAAGGGACCGATCTGTGTTATCCTTCATCTTATATCCTGGAATGCAAGAGCATTTCCTACCAGAAGCAGGAACATAGCTGCATAAACTGTTCGGTCCACAACTTCCATGGATCATGCAAGGATCAGACATTGCTTCCCATGAAACAAGCCAATTTTCTTCTCCCTCTGCTCGACTGTACAATCTAAGATTACCATCAAAATCAATCTTCAATCTTCTCTGGAGCTTCAGACCATAATCAGCAGACAAGAAGGTGAAATCATCAGTTGAACTGAAATTGCCCAAGGCGTCTAATACTGCAATCCTACTGTTGTTGTACGTGGATCTGCCAGCTTCCCAGCTTAGGAGATATGGCTCTGGCCAATATACGCTTGAGACCTCAGGATCTTCATACAGAAGCCGGAGGACATTATCAGTGTCAAAATAAAGCTTGAAGAAACCTGAAGAGAAGTTGGTCTGGCTTCTTGATGAGACAAGCTTCGTGATCTTGGTAAGCAGTTGGAGAGGAAGAAGGGTGTCTGTTGGTGCATCAAAGCTTTGCCACAGAACATGACCATCAGAGTTTCCTAGGATGAGATTGCCATTGTCATCCAGTTTTAAACTTGTAGAAGACGCAGAGACAGTATTAGAGGACCAAACAATTAAATACCCAGCATCTGAAAGAACAAGATTACCAGATTGGATAAGGGAGAGCTTTGAGCCTCTGCCATTTACCGGTTGGTCACGATTTGCCATCCAAACGACCGGACAATCGGTGCAGAATGGTTTACTGAACCAGATAGCAAAGCAATAAGCATTCTGGCCGATGGAGTAAAATCCAGCTGTGAAAGTGCCACTTGGGGAAGTCAAAACATCATCCATTGTCTCTACTGACAATGATGAGCCTTCACTTAGGCTGTCTGATGTTGACGATGTAAAAGAGGAGCCAAAAATCAAAGGGACAAGTATGATAAGGGGTGTGGCCATGGATTTGATGGAAGATCAGAGGAGAGGGAAGGACTTAGAAGTTACGTAGATGGACAGATTGCAGGGTGTCATAATTCCATGGGAGCTGAGGGCAACTGCTCACCCACCTGAGATTATTTAAATTCTCATGTCCTCTGAGACAGCTTGAATGTTCGAGATGTAAAATTCGAATTGTGAGATGGGTTGAGGAGTTTGAGAATGAAAAAGTCATCTTTTGTTGTATGGTTTAACAT